ACCCTTGCTGTTGCCGTCGGGCCCGCGCAGGATGGTGCACTCTTCGATGTTCCCGAAGGCCTCGAAGAGGCGGCGCACGTCGTCCTCAGACTGCTGCTTGTTGAGCATGCCCACGAAGAGTTTTCTATCTTCTGGAACAAAATTAGGAGATGCTTACCCGGGCCGGAGGTCCGAGGGGGCTCAGGAGCAGGCCCGGGGGCGGGCCGGGGGAAGGGGACGAGAGCAGGGTTTGGGGGTAGAGGCAGTAGCCGGGCAGAAGCGAGGGCTGGGGCTCAGACCCTGGGGGAGGAGAATAGTAGGGGGAGGGGGGCATAGCTAGAGGGACCGGAACGACTAGGTGAAAGGGCGACGGGGAGGGGGAGGGCGTATCCAGAGCCGGGTGAAGGAGCGGGGCTGGGTAAAGCAGGAGCTGGATTGCAGCGACTCTGCTCCCTTCTGCCCCACAGTGAGGAATCGAGCGAGCCCATAGGCCTGGCCACTCACCTAGGGGACATGGGACATTCATGCTGCCCTGGGATCCCTTCTTCTCTCCTCTTAGACACACACTATCTTGCTCATTTGCCTTCACTCACAGATGCCAAAATTAACTCTGCCACAAAATTAAGTCTGCCACAGGGCCTTTGCACATGCTGCCTGAAGCACCCTTTTAGATCTGTTTAAATATGGCTTCCTCATCAAGGCCTCTCCTTCCACTTCTCTTTAATTCTCTGTTTCAGTCCCTCACTCTCATGGCCTGAATTTCAAAGGACAATTATTTACTGCTTTGCCTTGTAGTTGGTTTCTGTCTAGCTTCCTGCCACTGCCTCCACTCCACCCCCATTATGGTCCCTAGGGAAAAGGTCAGACTCTACTAGAGCAGCAATACCTGGCACATAGTAGGCCCTGGGAACAGAGTTGTGGAATGAGTGAATGCTCTATGCCATTCGCAGGGATACATCTCCTTTCTATCTCACATATTTTTACCTCCTTGGTTTGGGCCTTCTTACTTGTTCAGGCTGCAAAATTCAGCCCTGGGCACTTTTGGAGAGCCTGTTCCTGAAGACTGGGCTCCCCCAGCAGCTCCCCCACACTTGTGTTGAGTACCAAGTGGTTTGTTGACACACCTCAGCTATGTGCTTAGGCTGACAGAGATCACATTGAGTTGTGTGGATCTGTACAAATGTGACTTCAAAAGGGTATATGTTCCCTTCCCTTGAATCTGAGTGGGGCTTGTGACTGCGCTAACCAATCAAAAACAGCAGAAGTGATGTCAGCTGATTTCCAGGGCTAGGTCATAAAAGGGATCAGCTTCTGCTCAGTTCTCTCTTTGGGAGATGCTTGCCCTATAGAAGCCATACACCATGCTGTGAAGAACACCCAAATGGCCGACACCATGAGTGCACACAGAAAGGAACTGAGGCCCCCAGCTGACAGCCAACATCAACCACCAGACTTGGAAGACAATGAGTCCTCATGTGATTCCAGTCTCCAGCCTTTGAGTCTTCCAGCTGAGATCCAGACACCCTGGAGCAGAGACAGGCCTTCCATGCTGTGCCCTGTCTGAATTCCTGACCCACAGAATCCGTGAGCATAATAAATGGTTGTATTATGCTCCTCACTTTGGTGCTAAATTTTTATGCAGCCACAGTCACTGGGATAGAGGCCCTGTGGTGACAGCACTCAGCAGGCACTCACTAGATGTTTACAGACTGCTGAATGACTGGCACACACAGGCACACACTGCCAAGTCTGCAGAAATGCAGGCCCCCCTCCCCCCAACGCTACAATCGGTCATGTGTTTATGATTTCTTGGAAGGTAGGGCACTCTGGGACCATGTCCCTCTGTATTCAGGGCAGTTGGTACCTTCTGCCCCAGAGAGCCCCCCATGCCCACACTGCCAGGAGAGTTCACATAGAGCTGAGGGGCTGCCCTGGTGTCTGGAGTGAAACAGAGGAAACCTCCCGGCCCCAAGACTCCTTCACAAGCCACCCCAGAGCCTTCCTCTTCGGGAAGCCCTAACCTCTGCCTTGCTGGTGCCCCTCACCCAGAGCACTCAGCACTAGGCAAGTCATCAGCGATGAGGTGGCCCTGGGTTCCACTCCTTCCATATCCTGCAGGGAGTCATTGCCAGTTCCTGTTACCAATTCTGGGCAGGGTGCACCAGCCTGGACCTCCACCATGGGTGGGCTTTGGGCCTGGAGAGCTCACCCTGTCACCTGCCCCAGCCTGGGCTGCTCAACCAGGCTTTTGGGGCCTTGGTAGTGCTGGTCATACCCCTGTTTTATCTCCAGGGCTCACCAACTCCAGGCTCTGGGCTAGGGGAGCAGAGACTGGGAAACCAAGAGAAAGGGAGAGAGACAGTAGAAAGGATGAAACTGAGAAGGGATGGCAGGAGATGGGGGTTAGGAGCAGAGAGAGAGGGAAAATGGTTAAGATGGACAGAGTAAAAAGAATTAGAAACAGCCAACGAGCAGAGAGAAGAGACCAGCAGCAGAAGAAGGCAGAGAAGGGGGAGAGAAGGTGGGAGGGCTATGTCTAACTCCCAGAAGCAGCAACACATTACCTAAAGTGAACTGGGAGCTTTTAAAGCCTTCAGTGGAGTAACTGAAACTCCTCTCCAGGCCCAGAACAGTGCTTCCCCATCCCTACCCACAACACCTTGTGAAGGCTCTGAATTAATGAGATTTCTGGAAAGACAAAGAAGTGAAAGCCAGCCCCTGCTAATACCAGGCCCTGTGGCTTAAAAATTCTCCCTGGGAAAGAAAAGGGAAGGGAACAGACTGCCCCTCCTCAGCCAGAGCCTGATTTACATGCTGGGACTGCACCTCCATGCCTTCTCTCCTGATATCTGAATATATTCCTTTATTATCATTATCACAGCTTTCTGATTGCATTAAAATTCATTCACTAGAGCCTTTCTATCCAGCCACTTCCCTTTTGCCAGTTTTTTTTTTTTTTTTGCTTTTTGCTAATTCCTTCTTCCTGTCCCCTGAAATCTCCCTTCACTGCACAGTTCTCAGTTGTAGGCCTGAGCCCTTCCTTCTTGAAAACTTTCCAAAAAGGTGAAGGTGGCCAGGCTGCGCCTCTCACTGCCCAGCTGGATTTCTCCAGGAAGCTGCAACCAGCTGGACCTGGAAGGCTGCCAGAAACCAAAGAAACCTGGCTGCAGACTCCCTTCCTCCAGGGGTTCTTGGGTGACTCCACCCAATGCAAACGTTGGTTTGTTTCTAGAATCTTCAAATGAACTCATTTTCGCACTCTTCATTTCCAGATGGCTTTTGTCACTGGGTGCTTGGTTCTAAGCCTCCTCTTTCAGACCAGGGGCTGGAAGGACTCTGAGTCCAAGGGTGGATCTCCTCCTTCTGGCACAGGTTCCCTGGCTCGGACCCCAGCAACCCTGCATTCCAGCTGTCCAGTGGCTCCCCACCTCAGTTTCTAGGTCTATAAGCTGGAATAGCTAGGCCCTCCTCAAGGGGTGGAGCATGGCTTCCAAGAGATGCTGCAGGGACAGAGCTGGGCCAGCAGTGATGACAATGGTGACAACTATGACTTGGAGATCTCTATCCAAGAGGAAGAGGAAATGGAGGGCCTGTCCCCCTTGTTTGCCCTGCCCTGACTTGAGGAGACAGAGGTCATAGACGGGGAGAGGTCAGAGGATCCACATCTGGGGGTTAGCACTAGAAGAAACAGGTGGCACCAGACTCAGGCTGTGGCTGACCAGCTGAGATGGACAACCTCCCTAAGTCCTCCCCACCTCTGGGCACGTTCTCAAGGGGCTGTCCCCAAGCTGTGTCAGGTGACCAATGCCACCATTTAGCTGGTGTCTTGGATCTGATGCCAATCTAGTGAGTCTCAGAGAATGACTCAGTTTCCTCAGCCTAGTTCCCACCCCTCCAACACAGACACAGACCCCTACTTCTGGGACAGGCTGAGCAGTGTCTGACCAAAGCCCACCTGCTTGAGTGATCAGGGTCCCTGGGTCATGGTGAGGCTATGGTGCTCTCACTGTTCCCCATGAACCCTCAGCCTGAGCCCATTTTGGGGGCATGGGGGTGTCATCGCTTCTCTGAGGAGATGTTCAGGCGGGTGCTGTTGGAACTGGGCCATGTAGGCTACCTTGAAGGGAGGTAAGGCCAAGTGAGATCTCAGAGTCAGGTTGGAAATGCGTTGAAGATGCCCCTGGGTGGGAGGTGGCTGAGGCTGAGTGGGGTCCAGACATGTGGTGAGCAAGTGAAGGCTAGTTTATAGCTCTATACCCTCCTCTCAACAGAGCCCAGCTTAGGGCAAGGAGCTGCACTATGCTCACTTTCCAACTCTTGGGGCAGAGCCCAGTGACTGGCACAGCAAAGTATTGGCTGTCAGGCTCTTGCAGTCATTCAACAACTATTTGCTGAACACCTTCTCTGTGCCAGACACTGTTCCAAGCATTCCTCCTAAGACAGTAAATAAGGTGAGTCTGCTCACTGGAACTGACATCCAGATGGGGAGACGGGCCATTGTAAGAAACAAATTCCCAAACAAGACAAAGGGTAGCAGGGCTGCCACACAGTGGCTCCCGGAGCTGGTGTGCCCTCCCCAGGGGGAACAAGGCCACATAATGGCAGAGTTGGGCAGGACCCCAGAAAGCACCAAGGGCCCTACCTTTTTTAATGAGGAAGTTGGGGCAGAAAGGGGGCTCCAGGATGCATATCCAGGGTTCAGACTAAATTCAGTCTCTTAGGGTCTCTGGACTTCCTGATCCTATAACCCCTTGCTGCTGCCTTCCTTTAAAATGTGAGCGCCTGTGTCTGTGGGGCCGAGGGAACACCTGGGGTTCTGGGAAACAGGAATGTGATGCCCCAGAAGGACTGGGCAACAGAAGGCAGGCACTAGCCCTAGCCTGCCTGAACCCAGAGAGGGCAGCTCAGCTCTCTGTGCCCAGATATCCTGCCACCATTGCTGGGGAGTAGGCATAATCTATACCCCACCGTCAACTAAGGAGCTGTGGATGGGGGAAGCCAATACAATAATGGATGAAAAAAATACCCAGCTTTGTCAGGTGATGGTGTTTATGGCCAGCAGGGGAGGGACTGGGCCAGAGCACCTGCCATCCCTCTTGGGTCTACCCTCTGGCCACACCTTCAGCACTTACTGAGTGCTTACTGTATG